GGTCTGCCGACTTAAAGGCATCCAGTTCTTCCAAATGACTCTGCACCATCTCAGGGTCTACGCATGGTAGTCTGGCGCCTTGCTGCTGCCTCTCTACAACCCCAGTGAGAGACTTGTCGTGCCCCTCACTTAGGAACACTGAGGCAAAGAACTCGTTGAGGAGTTCAGCCTTGTCCCCTCTGTCCATCACCAATTGTTTCTGCCCATTTAGCAGGGGTCCTATTCCTCCCTGGGCCTTCCTTTTACTCCCAATATATCTAAAAAACAATTTCTTGTTGTCTTTTACTTGGGTTGCCATCCTCAGCTCCATGGCAGCTTTGGCCCGTCTAACTGCCTCCCTACAAGCACGAGCAGAGGAGGTATATTCATCTTTGGTGATCTCTCCCTGTTTCCACTTTTTATGTGCTCCCCTTTTGTCCCTTAGGCTGCCCTGGATTTCTCTGGTCAGCCAGGGAAGCCTCCTGGCCCCTTTCCCCCTTTTGCCTCGCTCGGGGATCGTCTTGCTTTGTGCCCGAAGGATCATTTCCTTAAGGCACAGCCACCCTTCTTGGGCTCCCATCACTTCAAAACTCCTACTCTGCAGTGCGTCCTTGACTAATCGCCTGAGTTCATTGAAATCAGCTTTCCTAAAGTCTAGCACTTTCACCCTACTAGTTACCTTACCCACTCGACGTGATAAATGCCTTCAGAAACAGCAAGGGACAGCATAAAGAAGACAAGGGTCAATTATCCTCATTAGTCACCAAGAAGAGAACAAGAACTGGTGGGCTTAGTCTTCAACAGATAAAATTCAGGTTAAACATTTGAGAAACATAACTGAGAGGACAGTTTGGGCAACAGAACAAACTTCTACAGGAGACTGCATAATCACAGTCACTGGGGATATTCAAGATCGTATAGGTCACTGGTCTACCATGGATATTAGAAAGATTAAATCAATTCTGTCACTGTGAAGAGGATGGACATGAAGATCATTTGAGATTCCTTCCAACCTCATAGATTCAATGAACAAATGATACAATATAAAAATAAACCACATTAATATAGAAAGGTGTATATAAGGCTCCATATTGAGAAGGAATAAGTAAAGGAAATGCTTTATCAAGTTCCATGCAACAATTCCATTTCTAGAGGCAGAAAAGGGAAGGCCCCACAGATGGAGACAGAATGGAGGGAAAGAAAGATAACATTTTTGAAAAACTGCTAGTAAAGGTATTTATAGGTAAGTTACACTTGGATGCGAAGGGCAGGCAGCAGACAAGTGAAGGTAGACAGCAGACAGTTAAGTAACGTGTAAATGATTCAGCATGAATAAAGCGCTCTGGCCAGAAGGAAAAACATCTAGATTTTCCCAGGTCAGATGCTAGTGTTTATTGTTTTTAGTTCCAGAATACAAGATGTAGGTTATATATACAGACTGTATCTCTCTATTTTTACATTCATTCATTAACTCTGCCCTTCTTTTGCAGCCACGTACTCTGTTGTTTATCTGAAGTTACTGAAGTTGTTGGTACGGGAGCTTCCCTGGGTTATGTCCCCAAGGTCCCCCCCAACATTCTCAAAACCTCTTTTCAGGCTGAACCAGTTGAAAAATTTCTGAACAAATCATTTTCCATTTAAAAATATTAATCCAATAAAATTGAACCATTTTGTAGGTATTTTTCAATTTCATGAACACTTTCAATATTAAATAACAAATGTCATTTCAACTTTATGACTTGGAGTTTTATGTATAGGTAATATATCCTATGAAGTCAAAATGAAAAATAATAAAATGTTTTTAAAATATCTGACATTTCAGCTTTCCTTGAGAATTTGAAATTTCAAAAAACTGTGAAATGTTGGAACGTTCATTCAGTAGGCTGGACATCCCATTTTCAACCACCTGTGGTATCTGGGCCCACCAGATGGCATGTGATTGATTAACTGCCCCTATGTGGACAAGGCTGAGCTTCTTCTCTGTGCTCATCCTGTCACAACAGGAAGGAGAGATAACTGTACGAATTAAGAGATGAAGAGGTCAATCACGGCTGAAGTAGTAGGTGCTGCTCTCATTTCCAAGGTGCTGACATGTGGACTAGGGACTTCACACAACTATTTACAAGTATCAACACCTGCTCAAGTATATTTTTCCTATAAGCATGGCTTTGTAAAAGGGAAAGCAGAGCTGAACAAATGCCTCAAATAATATTAATATATAATTAAATAAAAAATTGATTACAGACATATTTCTGCCCTCCCCTATGGTCATTTTCTACAAATATTTAAGCAAACAAATTACTTACTAGAATCCTCCCTTGAAAAGGTAAACTTTGAGTAAAAATTAGGGGACCTAAGAAAACCAATGTTTCACTTCATGATGGCAATTATTCATATCAATAATGTGATTCTAGAAGTGAGGCTTATCCAAAGAGGAATTGGAAAGAATACTCTGTGATGTGCACGTTCCCCTCCAAAACTGACCAAATTAGCTGTAAATCTGAACCCTGGTTACTGGGAATAAACTTCTCATCCACAATCTCCAAATTGAGATTTTGTAGAAAATATTTAGCAAATATTCTTGAAGAAGAAATGTGCAAGAGGCAAGGATTTTGTGAGTGATGTATTTTATTGGACCAACTGTATGGTTGTAGAAAAAGTACACGTAAAAAAATCTTTAACTGTTTCCTGGTGATTCAAGAGCAGAAATTTGGACTGAATTTGTTAAGTAAATTATTCACTACAAATTACTTGTCATGTTTCTAATGAATGTTAAAAAGGAAGGTTAAGATATTACACAAGAAAGATTGTGCTGTACCTGGGACAACCTTTTCTTCTTCTATAGAAAGTTATGTTCCCTATAATAATCTTCTCTCAAATATCTGCCTTGGACAAGAAGGGGTCATTGGGTAAAGTCTTGGTTCCTGGCAACACTTCTTCTGGCTCACCATTCTGAACATACATGTTTTAAAAATGAAAGACTTTAGCCAAATGAAGTAGGAAGATTTATTTTTCAAAACCAAACAGGATATTTGTGCTCCAAAATGTAAACCAAGGCAAAATTACATCAATGCAACAATATACCATAACTTTAGCTTCAGCTCAGATTTCTGCTGCCTGCTTTGATCTCCAGGATATTTCAAATATCTGCAAATCACCTCTATATGTGACACAGGCAACTCAATAGCTGAGCAAGATCATTCCACAGGTGAATGTAAAATGGACAGAAAGTGTCACAATATGTTCAAAATGACCCTAGTCCAGAAGTGCTCTGGAACAGGGTAACATGTCCAAAAAAGGAGATACAGGCAACCTCTCAAACATCACCATTGAAAGGTTCAGGCTTTCCAAAAGAAAATAAGGCACTGGACTTCTCAACAAGCCTTAGAAGGGGCATTTTCAATCCCCCAACATACAAAGAGAAGTCCTTAAATATAACCAGGCAGAGGTTTCTCCTCTCCTCACACGCTACCAAGCTCACCCTCTTTTTGTGATCTAGTTATATTCCCGTTCAAGTAAACTTGAAAGTATTCTTCCTAGTCAAATGAAAGGCTTACCCTACCCAATTACTTGCACAAAGAAGGCCATTGGTCCCTATAGCTTTGCTTTGACAAAGGAAGATGCCTAGAATGCCTATCACAGAATTATACAAGGATTATCCAACTATTCCCTGAAAGAATGTGGCCAGACTATAAGGAATACACTTTTCATGTAACATCCATGTTCCAGATTTCTTCTTTTTTTTTTTAAAGTTAGATAATATGAAGATTGCTACTCCTATTATTGGCCTTTTGGTGAACTGGAAGGGAGACAGAGGAGTGGATGTGTCAGCCCAAACCCTCCAAAACATTTTTGAAGCTAAGAACAGCAGTGGCTCTTCACTTCTCCTCCCTTTGTTAACTTTGGGTAGTTAGCATTTTCTATGACAGGAGGCACTGGATGGCATAAATTCCTATCTATCCTAGACACTGAAGTGGGTATTTCTCAGAAAGGCTGGATTTTGGCCCATCTTGTCACTTACTGAAAAAGATATATTGCAGTGAAAAAGAACTGAAATGAAGAAAAATGCCAATAGTTAGGTCCCTAGATGTGAAAAGGATTCATACTGCACCAACTCTTGGGGTCCTTCCTCCCTGCCAGACTGGTGCCATGGCTTAGTTTGGGTAATGCCTTACTGCACTTCTGGTCTCATTAGCAAGCTAATACTCCAACTGAATAAGAATGACAGAATGGGGGACTCAGATTTTCCTGAGTCCTTATTGAGGCTTGTCTCCCTTTGAAATCAAGAAGAGTTCTGCCTATGGGCTGAGAGCAAGGACTTTTGAGATTTAGCCCAGTAGAATTTACTGAAAGAAAGGAAATAACCAAAAATTAAGTAAGAGATACAACAAGGGTGAAGTACCTTTGTCGGAGGTTTTTGAGTTATGCTTTTGTTTGTAACTATCTGAAACAGAGAAAATAATAGAGGGTGAATCTTACACGGAAGATAAAGAGATACATTAGGCAGAGAAGCCACAAAGAAAGAGGCTGAAAGAGAAAGCCATGAGAGATGAGCTGTGATGGTGCCAAGGGAGGTGGAATCTTGCTGAGGATTTCATTTTCTTTCCTTCATGCAAAACACCGAGAGCAGCAGGAGGTGGCAGACATGCAAGTCAGACAACAGCAGAACACTTTGCTGGATAGAAGAAGGGGAAGCCCTGTTTGTATTTGAGCTGTTTGGACCAGGCTGAAAGCAGAGTTGGAGGTCTGGGTGCTACTTACTGTCACAAACATATGGTTTGTCATGGTCATCCTGGGAGGCAGCATCATTCCTTCTTCTTCCACCTCCAGATCCGCGAGCCTGCAGTGAGAACAAGAATGTTAATGTTGTTCCAGTACCCTCTCACAGCCTTCAGCTTCCCCCTCTGACAGCTATATATGCAAGACTAAATGAGTTCCTGGAGTTGCACAATGGGTGAATTTGGCCTTTCATCTTCTAAGGCACATTGTATATTTTTGGAACTTTCAATGCAGCAGAAAATCCTTAGAACAAAAATCCCTAGTTGATTAGCAGTGGAACTCTATCAATTCCTTGGCCACTGTTCATGCATAGTTAGTCAAGGTACCATCTCATACTCACAGGCAAAGCTGTTCAAACGTTGGACCCAATGAATGAACAAATAGGAGGGCATAAGGCTATTTGAGCAATATCAGGCCCAAACACAGACCTAAAATATTGTATTTCTAAAGTACATTTGATGTTGGTAAAGGTGCTGAGGGCCAGAGCTCAGCTTATCCACAGGACAATGTGACTCACAGATGTGTCTCAAAGCTGACTTGAACTTCACAGGGATAAAGATGGAGTTCAGTGTCAATGCCATTCAGTCCTAAGCCTCCTCCACTGAGGATGCCAGGGGGGAACAAGTTACTGCCATTTATAATGACAGGGGTTTTGACATGGGTATTGGAAACAGAGCACAACCCTGAAACTATTTCACATAAGCCAATGGCACCCTTCAGATGGCAATAACTTTAGGCCTAATCTGCATTTCAGCTGGTACTTTAGAGGCAGAAATCCACCTATCCTAAATGCTACCTTCTACTAATTCTCCAAGCTATTAAGTTCCCAAGCAAAGTCAACTAAACCAGTTAATTTCATTGTTTCTATAGATAAAGTTTGGACTCCTCCTCTCCTTCCGAGAGCTTCATGCCTCATATCCCTTTGCTTTTTGTGTGTGAGAATAAGAAACTGAAGCAGCTTTAGCAGGTAAAGACAATGTGGAGATTTAGAGAATATTAATGCCCCAATTATTAAAAGATGGTATAAACTACACAGGACAGCACTGGACAGCACTGTAACAAACTCAGCTGCTTATCTCCATAAGTTTGAAGAGAAGGCCAAGAGGACAGTTTTAAACTGATGCATTGCTTGGAATCTCTGAAAAGAGGGTCTTATAAAAACTGCACAGGTTAAAAAAAACCTCTTCCCAATGGATGGCTGGGAACAAATCCAATAAAGTCGATTCATGACTTTGGATGGAGTGTGATATCCATCCATATAATGGTTCTGAAGGCAGGAGGCATCTAATTGACTTTGCCTGGATGCCGTAGATACTGTCAAGTCACAGGGCATGACCACAGCATGATCTTCTCAGGTGAGCCGTAGAGAAGTAAAATTAAATACAACTGTAGGAGTTGTTTTACAGAATCCATATTTACAGAAACTCAATAATTCTGTATCAAATATGCTTAGTTTACAAATAACAAATGTTTCTGTTGCAACTGCCAGCTCTGCAACTCACCCCAGGCTCTGAGAGCAAACCTGCATTCCAATCTCCATTTACTCAGCACAGTAAAAGGTCCCACCAGTCAAATTAGGCCGTCTGTAGCACCTGTGAGACCCTAGGCACTTCAGCAGATTTGGGCAGGTGTAGCTAATGTGGCCTTGATAAACAATTGTATCGATGTATTAGAATCCAGGCCCCCTCCCAACCTATCTGCATTGGTTCTGCAGAGGGATGAAAAAGCTGTAACATCTTACTTTTGTCACTAGTCAGCAGGTCTGACTCTGAATATACACAGGGAGCAGATCTGTTGAGTAAGAAAGTGCTATTTTTACATAGTCACTTTTCAGACTAGAATAGTAATTTAAGATCTGTTGCTGAGTTTCACTAATCTACAGCCAGCTGTTTCCCTTCAAACCATCCTTTACAGAAATGCAAGGGTACAGCATTCATGCTATGGCTGCGTGCCATATACACTTTTTCATGAACTGAACACAGACAGGGATATTTTCAAATTAAATGTATTGCTTTCATGGGGACTCAGGCTCCTAAATCCCTTTGGGACTTTGATAACATCCTCTAGTTTTCTTTTGAAGAGTACATGGACTGCACACGTGCAGCCACATTACTGCATTACAAGCTTCACATTCTAGCTCCTTCCACATTTTCTCCATCCAACAAAGACTGTAAAAACCTCTCTCTGTAAACCCATCTCCTTGGCCTTCAACATTGGACTTCACGCTCCTGCTATGTCAGGGCTAGCCTTAGGGAGCCAGCAAACTAAGCAGTCACCCCAGAGGCACAGACAGAGTGCCACGTGCTTGCTGTCAGGGCTTCAGTCTGTTGAATTCAGTCATCCACAAATGACTTCATACTCCTGCAGGGATGCAGCAAAAAGACTAGGAGACTTGATATATGAAGCCTGGAAGCCTCTCTCAGCAGCCTTGAAGCAGCCAAATGGAGACAGAGAGAACAGCCAAAGGGACAGAAATAGGGTCTCAGGATAAAAATAAAAGAAAGCTGGAGGAAAAGCAAGGAGCACAATTTGGAATGGCCAGAGCGATAATTCTGCTGCGTGAATTCTGTGCCCGTGACTTAAGCCCTTCCTGATCGTTCTCTGAATCCCCAAGGGCCCAGCTCCTCCGAATCTTGTTTCCTTTTGTAGGTCCTCCACCTGTCAGTCTCCCCTCCTCTAACAATTCCACAAACAAAGCCTTCTAGGTAACAAAAGTACAGTCCCTTCTCAGGTTCAGATTTCAAGTGTCCTCAATTTCAAATCCTTTGTGGTTCCTAAGTTGTATCAGACCCTCATCAGGAACAGGCTTAAAAGGGAGCAAAGCATTAGCTCTCAGCTGCTGTAAATCAGATAGCAATGGAAGGGACACCAGTCTACGCCAGCTGAGGATCCATCTTTAGATTTACAATGCCACCTAGGCTTTGTGCCAACATTCTTACTACATCCAATTTTTAAGAAAGTTTAACAGCATTTGGAACTCTTTTACCACCTCCCCTCTATGGTCTCATAAGAAATCAAAGTTACTGGCAGAGATAATATTAGTAGCAGGGAAAGGGCCAGAGATTTTACTGGGACCACCATTAGCATGGGGTTCTAGTCTAAAAAGTAAGATAAGTTTATGTACAAGGTGAATGTGATACATGATGCTCCTAACCCCACACAGGTTCTTTTATTTTGAATGGCAGAGATAAAGTGATAGAATTGTTCTGTGATACCTTCCAGGATAGGGAAGTACACTATTGCATGTAACAATAACCTCAGGGCATTATTTGTATGGGTCAGAGATGTATGAAATGGATGCCAGAGAATAAAATTCTCTTTCCAGATTGGTATACCTTTTGCGTTACCCTTTTTGTCCTTCATACACCCTGACAGGCATATTCAAATCCTGTGGCAGTAAGTTTATTAGGAAACAGTTGTAAGAACTAGAGTGTTCAGTATGAGTGCATGTATTGATCTATCTCCTAGTTTTGCTTATAAGTTCATATAACTTCCTGAAATTTATACTTTCTAAAATATTCTAAGTTTGGGTATCTGACTGAGGGGGCATTTACAAGAAAACTAAAAAAAAAAGATTGACTAAAATTGGCTCCACTGGTTTTGAGAAATATACTTTTCCCTGTTAAAGGAAAATTTGCCTTGATTTCTTATCCAGGAGACTTAGCACCCAAATGAACAAGAACAGAAAGATGAAATAATAGAATAATAATGAAAACAGAGTGGGAGGGAGGTGTGGATGCACAGGAATGCTCTAAAACTATTCACTGTGATTTCAGGCAGTTTTAAAATTTCTTCTATCCTATTTATTTACCCCAAAATGTGGTCATCTTCAGCTGCACTCCTACAATCTCATATTTTCAGACACAGCAATCACCCCCAGCTTCCCCTGAAGCTCCATGACAGATGCAAGTGCTTGACACTTCTGAGAATCACATTCACTTTTTATTTGGATGCCTGCCTAACTTCAGGAACCTACTTCTGAAAATGTTGGCCCCAAGCTTTTAAATGTTGGCCTGGTTACTTAGCTGACTTTGTGCTGAAATTGTGAGGGGACAGGACCAAAAAAGGTGGCTGTTGCTTGAGGATGAAACCACACCATTCTTGAAGTCAATGGGAGTTTTGCCACTGACTTCAAAGGGGCTAAGATTTCATGCCCAGAGCACTACTACGACCTTTCAGTTCTGACTCCAGCTTCAAAGACTGTAAAGAAATGTATTTATATAAGCTTCACTGTTACCTTTGCTGAGTTTTTTTTTTTTGGATGTTGGAACTGTAAGCAAAGTTTGCATTTATTTTTTAATTGTGAATGTTGTTTCAAGGTAAGGGACTGTAACAACAGGATATCATCATCACTGATAGTCAATTTCACTTCAAAAATAAAAATATATTAATAAAATATATTCAGTCCCCATTTTCAGTCTTACAACAATCTCATTTCTTAGTTAATAGGAAAAACAAACTGAGACTATGAAAAAACAAGGCTGTATGATTCTACAGTTTACCACATGGTTATCATCTTCACTTATCCATGCATCTACACTGTGCTTATGAAGATGATGAACAGAAACCAGCTGAGGATGTGAGAAAAGAGCTTTGTTCCCCTCCTTTCCTCTCCCCCACAGGGATTCAACCTACCCTTCCTCTGGCTCTGTTCTTTCGTTTTGGAATATCTTCTTCCAAATCTTCTTCCTCATTTACTTCATCTGCATTTTCATCATTTTCCAGAACCCTCTATGTTTAAATGACAAAGAGTTATGTTTAAAAGCAAAGGCAAATGTTCACTGAAAGTTACACAAGATCAATTATTACTATTTACAACTGAGACTGAGATGGTACTCAAAATGCACTCTCCACTCACAGGGAGGGACACAGCCCTGCCACAAGGAAGATACAGTTTTAAAAGGTGAAGATGGACAAAAATGGATACAACAGACAAGCTGATGGTTAAACCATTGCCAGAATTACACTTATGCTAATTCTTTAATGCCAGTTCATCCCAACCAGCACCCACAGAAATGTGATGTCCTTCCTTGCCTGCCCTTGGTTTCCCACAAAGGTGGTTTCTAAGAAAGACTAGGCTGGCAGCAAGAACAGCAAAAGTCAAGCTGTGACAGTGCAGGCATTGTTTTCTTTTGTTTTGTTTTTACAGTTTACATTTTCCTCCTCTGATGAAAACTTAGAAACCAGAAACATTTCCTTTTGTGGCACTTCAGAATTTTTCCCCATTTAGTGAAGCATTAGTCTCCTGTGTGTCTAACAGGCCTCAGGGTACCCATACCATAGGTGTCCATATAGTTCTAGAAATAGGGTATCCTGCAGCTCCCATTGAAGGTAATGGGAATAGTAGTTGCTTATTGACTGTGCCTGGGGTTTGCTAGATTTTTTTTCCTGTTTTTCTGAATTCTGTTCTTCGGGAAAGATGTCTGGTTTGCTAGCACTTGAAGCAATCACAAAGCAGACACAGTACAGGCAGTGGCACTGCAAACCTTCCTACAACAATGACAAGGAGCAAACTCCTAAAGAAGTGACAGGATAATTCATTCTTCATAACTCACACAATCCTTGGTATCTCTGCAAGCAAGGCTGCTGGCCTATGCCAATCATAATGTGAGTGCCTGTTCTCTAGGAGCTATTCTGAAAACACTAAGTCATCTAAGACAGGCCACTCTTCAGATGGCAACATTAAGTCATGAAATTAATTCAAAGAGTCAGAGGTGACAGACAGCCTTTAAAATCTGTTATCTAATTCTGATCTATTCAGTTCTCCTGTATATTTTTAGTTAACAGATGCTAGAAAACCAGCAGAGGGAGAATAGGTGCACATCACATTAATGTTGCCTCCGGTGTACCTTAAGAATTGACTGCTAGGGTGGAAAAGAATACAACAGATTTTACTAGAAAAAGGTTTAGAATCAGAAGAACCATCCACACACCCCATTATTAGAATCTAATCACTTATATTATGGGGCATAAACACTGGCCAGGGTCCTTTTAAACAGGTTAAAAAATTGTCAAAGTTTAGTAGGGGGTCAAATTAATTTGTGGGTTTTTGTATTTATATTGCATTGTTTTTAAACCCTAAGATTGCAGACAAGCACGGCTATGAGATATGTGGCACTGCAGGCACATCTGCAGTGCCACATACTGCATGCTCTGTTGTTTTCAACACTGCAAGGAGAAAAAGAGTGGAGTGGTGCATGCAGTGGCAGCGTGCACAGCCTGAAGCCAAAGCCTGGCAGCTGGCCAGAGCCACACTCCACTGCCAACCAGGCTCCATGTGGCAGGTTTGCTGCTGCTGCAGCCCCGGGAGACCCTCAGGACCTCAGGTAAGGCTGCTGGGGCCAGCCTAGTGCTGGCCCCAGTCTCCCCTACCCCACTCAGGGTAACTTGCTGTGCACCAGAGTGCACAGGGCACAGGCAGGGACAACCAGCAGCAGCATTAGGTGCTCTGCCACTAGTTGTCCCCAGGGAACCAAATGTCTGCACACATCTGGAGGTGGCCTAAGAGGCCATTTATGGGGTCAAACGACCTTGATAGCTGATCTTCTCATAGAGTTTTAGTTACTAGAAGGTGGAAAAATTAAGTGACTTCTGCTTTCACATATATAAAATGTCCCCTCATAATTTACCAAAGTGCATACATTTGTCAGGGAAAATACATTCTTTATTAAACTAGGGGATTTTAAACTGGGAGAGGAATGCTATATAGATTTTTTTTTTCAAATTACTTAAAGATTTTTTTTTTTTTTTTTTTGCAGAGCATTTCATTTCCAAAACAGACTGAAATGCTGACATCCCCAGAGTGGAAGGCATCAGTCATTCTGTGCCAGTACTTCACCAGTAGTGCTGTATTTACTTAAATCCAAGAAGACTGAATTTAAGATGACCCCCCAATTAGATTCTAGACATAGAAAAGTACATAGTAGTTATAATTTTCCATGTACAGTATCTAATTATTGGAGGAGCATCTTAAAATTCATGCCCCGCCCCTTAACTGCTGTGGTGGGAAAAGCAACAGCAGGGAAGCAAGTGGCAGCAAAAGCTGTGGCAGGAAGCAGACAGCCTGACCACTACCTCTTGCCCCACCCACCTGCTCCTGCTTCCCCCAAGTGTCTTCCCCCCTACCCAGCCACTTACTTCTCAATGTGCCTGCCCCACCCTGGCAACTTGTCCCCTAGCCCGCTGTACCCTCTGCCACCACTTACCCTATGCAGCAGCTCTGGTTCCAGCTCTGGCCCAGGGCAGGGAGCACACAGTGGCTCTCACCCTGTACCAGGCAGCAATGGCAGCAACAGCTCCATCCCCAGGCCTAGGTCAGGAGTAGAGCTGAAGCCAAGGCAGCTCCCCTGCTGCTGCACAATTTTCCCCAGGCTCCATCCAGGCCACACCATGCAATCTTCCCTATGCTCCCTGGACCACACCACATGGTCTTCTCCTCAGGTCAGGGCCACAGCTGGAGCCACAGAATCCACCTGATCTAGGCCAGTACCTAAACCCAAGAAAAGGCTTATGTTTCCCCAGTGTTGGGGCAGGGAAATTGTCTTGGATTTGAATAAATACAAAAGTATATAGGTGGGGCATTTTTTCCAGTTGATGCTGCGGGGTCAATTTAAGGTAGAAAGATCAGCTATGTACAAATTGGGCTACAAAGCCAGGGTAAGGTCTCTTATTCCTGTGAAAAATGCTATAGCATCTTCTTACAAGTGGGCAACAATGCTGTTTCAGACTAACTACAACAGCTGGTACACCATTTGCCCTGCTTAAGGCATGGATTCAGTATTGTTGTTACTTGGGGCCTGATCCTCAGCTCCTGTAAATATAGCATTTGATCATATTGATTGTACCTGAACATCTGGCCATGTTGAATGCATCTATTTAGAAAATATCTAGTACTGTCTACTTTGTCCTTCCAAAACACTCCTCCAGTCCCTTGCTTTTCAACACAGATAAGAATTTGATGCAGCTTTCCTCCAAATGCACATTAAAAATTCACTCTCATTTCATAGTAAGAGGCAGTAAATAGCTGGGACCAAGGAGGGAATTATGAATCTGCCTACCCCAACTCACTCACTCCCTACTGTCCATGGGAACGGAAGTACAGTACTAGCTCAGGAGGTTGCTTCCTGTTGAACCCTTCTGAGCTGTGACCAGCAAGACCTGGAGCCCATGTAAAATGGAGATTTACACCCCTTACCTGGCTGTATAGGCACAAAAGACTAATCATGGTCTTGTCCTAACCCAGTCCAGCCACCCCTTCCATCAGGTCCTGCAATACCTGCTCAATCAGCAGCATTTAGTAAACACTGTACAGACTAAATCCAACCAAGCTGCATTTGCAAAGAAAACAACAGCATGCCAAGCCTTTCACATCCACTCAGTGATGAAGCCAGCTTCCATGAGACAGGTCACAGCTCAGAGGGTACAGATGAAGACTCCTTGCATACAGGCATACCCCTCCCCCCTTTTTAATGCAGTGATGCCAAGACTGCTGTCAGTTCCACTGTCTCTGAAGTCTCTTTCCTCAGGCTGATGCCTGGGGTAATTTGGGAGCTCAGATTGCACAACAACATCCAAAGGCACTTGTTGATCTCAGAGAGATGCTGCATGATGGCTTCTTGTGACCTTGGAAGCTGCTATAAACAAAGACTTTAGGACTTTCCGTTTATTAGAACCAGACCTACTAGTCAACGAGGAAACAAAGGAAGCTTTTCATATAGAACTTGTTCCTTCTTTGTGAATGTGAGACATTTCCTCTTTGCCAGGGTTTCCCTACCTCCATTACTAGGAGCTAAGAATATAATTCTGCAGCCCTTACATACCTGAAATTTCAATGGGGCCCGCAGGACTGGACCCAGAATTATGTCAATGTGATTGTCATGACTTTCAGTTTTGCTGTCTGGTGGGTCACACACTTGGGTTGTGAGTTTCAGGAATGACTTGAAAAAATGTGAAGCTCAGCCAGTATCACCAAGTTGTACAGGTTGTGCCTGGTTTATACTAAAAACTATAAACTAGTATAGACTATGCCAAACAATGCCTTGGACTCATTCAAAATCTATCCCCAATTCCCTGAAAGTTTTGCAAACCTGAGCAAATCTTCCTGGGGTTTAAGTTTTTCCCTACCACTGCATTAGCCGAGTCATTGCCAGTGGCCTTGTCTCCCCTGCTGTTTACTTGAGGCAAGTTGTCAAGTCTTTGAGATTTCTTCTCTTCCATGGATCGGTTTTTTTCTTGCAGGATGTTGTATTGCCCTGGTGTGTGAGAAGGGCTGTAGTTCATGATCTCATGGACCCTTTACTCTAGACAAATGACTGCACACAAAAGCAGGGAATTGGACTCAGTGGCCAGGAGGCCCCTCCAAGTACTATGTTTTTATGTTATGAGAATTTAACACAGTTCTGCTAATCACTCCATACGTTGGCAGAACCCTGACTTTGCCAAAGGCTGCAGCTAGATTCGAACTTCAATACTGGTAAATGATCAAAATGAAATAATTACTATTAATATTCCAAGGGATAATATGAGGCCGAAGAGAAAGATTGCCTTACTTGTTTTATTGGTAATACAAAAGGCTATTAAAACTAAAAGAATTTTTAAAACCATCTATGTTGTTTGCATAACTTCTACAATTCTCTCTGCTTAGACAAGGAAAAGAGATGAGCCAATGACACACCTCTGCTTCTAGTGAGCAGCTATGACCCAAATTTCAAAGCCAAATCTGACCTCAAAGTTTGAGGTTACTCAGATCCAATTCATGGTTTGGACCTATCTCTGCTAATCAGTATCTGATAATCTCACTTTGCTACAGTGTCTTGGTTGTAAACAATCCAGAATGTGGCAGCCCAACCTGAATTACTGTGACAGTTTTGCTGAACAGTTATGCCAAATCCTGAATTTATTTTGAGCATCAGAGAGTAACACTGTAGTCTGGTGACATTTTGTGGCACAATGGTGTGACATTACTACGCATTAATGCAACATTTCAACACAAAGACACAAATGTCATAAGACACCATTTGGATACTGAAAATAAAAAAATAATATTAAAGCCAATCCTGCAGTCAGTGTACAGAGACATACAATTTAGCCAACAGAGCTGCTCTCTTTTACCTGGATTTCCTGTATAGTGTCTTCTTCTTTAGTATCCATTTTTTTCTCAATCCCTTCTCCACGCAGCAGGGCCTCCAGCGTGGTTCCCTCTGATGTGAACCCATCCTTCTTGAGAGGCAGATCAACTTCTGCGAAACAAAACAAAGAGACTCTGTGTGTCTTTTGCAAGCATACACAGAAGAAGGGGGGGAAAGGACAAGGAACAGGCTGCCAGGCTTTTAACCTCAATCATATCTTAACGAGTAAAAGGAGTAATTTTTCTATTAACCTCTTATGCTAAGGATTCAGTTTTACCTTGCTGAACCACTGACCTCTTTTCAGTTTCCTATGTTGGGGTGCAAGGAAGGAAGGTTGGACATTATTTTACTGGGGAATAAAAATAAAATAGGAAATAAGAAAGAGAGATAAGGATAATAGGAAAATATTCCCACAGCTTTTCTGGAAGAGTTATACATATTAAACTCCTTCCCCGACATAGGAAAGAGTTTTTAAAATATATGTATATTTCTGGCATAATTCACATGACACTGAATTGCTTGTGGAACCATCTTGTACAAAGAGACAGAAAACAGACAATTCAGGTGCAGGGTGCTGAGATACAAATGATCTCAGAGGTAGGACAATGCTGAGAATTTTAAAAACATCTAAGGGTTCTGTCTCTGAATTTGCAACTGAATAACTATTCCCACTTTTAAGTCAAGACTCTACAACCTTCACTTTGATTTAAATAAGACTGCTCAGGTGAGGAAGAAAAACTCGGCATAAGTGAGAGTTGCAGAATCTAACCCATGGAGAGAAAAAATATCTCAAACTAATGTTTCCCTCCCCCACCCTGTTCTCTCACCCAAAGGCTAGCTCTAGGGCAGCCTGGGGCATGCGCCCCCAGAAGAAAATGGAGATTTACAAAGATGCTTGATGCAATGTGGCATACAGACGAAGGGGCAGACAGCAGGCTAGTTCTAAAGGCTGTCACAGGATTATGAGCAGAGAAAGGCAGCTAGCTTTGTTAGTCAGGCACAGCACAGCACGGTACAAGAAAGCACAACATGGATGTTAAAACACAACTAGGGAAGAATTCTATCTCCTTCAGGATCCCCCAATCCCCTGTTCCTACTTATGTAGGTGTTCAACCAGATTAATCCTACAGTTACCCCTTTCAGTGAAACACCCAGTAAGCCACAGCCTCAACATGCCAAGATTTTCACTTTCCAAGAACTGGGTCTCTTTCTCCATATCATTTTGTTTGGGAAGTAATTCAGTACCAGGTGTGATATTAACTATTTAGCATTTGATTTTACACCTGCACCCCATTCCCTCATCTCACTGGGACATTTTGCTTCCCCACCTGTTGCTATCTGCTTTCTCTCATCCTGCACTCAGACTGTAAGGTCTTCAGGGCAGAGACTACTCTGTGCTGGTACAGAGCCCAGCCCATCAGAGACACTATCATAGTACAAATAGTTGTACAAATTGTTTAGTACAAACTAAACAAACATCTTTATCTGGTGGGGTGTGGTATCATCTAGTTTTGAGGGAAGACCACTTCTCCAGCAGTGTGTCAGTTCTCTGGCTGTGCCAAAGAATCCAAAGCCAACAAAAGACTTCGGGGTCCCTTAGCCAAAGTGAAGGTCATAGGATCTTAAAGGGATTCTTCAAATATTCTGAAGGGCCACTAGCTAGCTGCATCACTCAGACAACAGAGCACAGAACATGGGCAGCAACTATAGCAAAAGCTCCCCCTCTTATTGAGAGGAAGCCTGAGTACAAACCATGCAGAACACCAAAGCTCTGGCGTTTTTCAAAGGAAACTTTCCCAGAACAGGAAGCTGGGGCACTGAGTGGAAACCTTGATCCCAAAGAAGAGACTGAGCTATTCAGTTAGTCTTTCTTTCCAAAACTGAGTTCTGCAACACTTCACCTATTTGTAACCCCTTCCACCAGGCTCCCCTGATTATGATACAGGTTCACCTCTGGATTACATGAACTAAAAAAAAAAAAAGTGGGGGGAGAGGGGTCATCCTGAAATTCCCTGCAGGAATTTCTGGTGTCTCTTTCCTTCCCACTCTTCTTGCGTATCCATTTGGTTCATGAAGTGTATGTTAAATTTGGAGACAGACATTTCAGCTTGAAAGATTTAAGTGTTACAGCCTTCGGTGGGAAGTCACTAGGGCACCTCCATAGTCACATCTGTGTGGTTTGGGCTTGGTTTCCACCCCTGAACCGATACAAAAGGACATCAGCATTGTTTCTGGATCCCTGTGGGACTGAAAAATCCAACTGATCATCAGACATATTGCAATCAAAGGCAAAGCTTAAACCAAGCTCAAGGGCATGGGTAGCAAATGTCTTCACTCTGATAGGCTACGTCTGTCTCTGGATTCCAACACACTCAGCAAACAAATGCATTAAAATAGGGAACAAGGGAGGGGATTAAGCAAAATCCACATGAACACAACAAATGTCCTGTATGCCACCGAAGAGTTGAAAATCAAATCTAACATGGAAAATGTAAGTGTTTAAGGGCAAGGAGAGCAGCTGCCTTTCCAAAGCATGCTCATTCCTACTTGCTACTAATAACACTCAGCCCTTCCACAGCACCTTCCAGCCAAAGATTAACAGTCTCTGAGCTTATTGCTGCTCTATGAGCTAGGGAAGTATTATTATTCCGTATTTACAGATGGAGATACTGTGGTGCTCAGATGACATCAGGTTAAGCAGGAAACCAGGAGAAAAACCCAGCACAGCTGATTCCCAGCTCTAAACAGTAAGCGTTAAACCATTGTTTCCTTCTCCTCTCTTCTAGCATCTTCCCAGTAGCCAAACATTCACATCTCTGGCCCATTTTAGGAGCCCAAAAATTCCAGTTCTCATTAATGGAGGAAAGAGAGGAGGGAAGTGGGAATTAGTACACAGAGCTTACTAGAAATGCACGCTTTACTCTATGAAGCCCCAGACTGGTCAACAATGGGCGTGTCTAAATGTGCACTTTAATGTGCAATAGCCTATTTTACTGAGCATTAAAACGTCACATCAAAAACCATGCTAATATGCTAATATGCAGTAAAAATAAGTGACTGCACATAAAGCATCACTAAAAAAGCATGTGCTTTCACTACTGTGCATTAGGGCAGCCTAATGCGCATTTATTGAGTACTTCACATTAGAGGTACTAAATTTAATGCAAAGAGCAAAAGCACATTAATGAACATGTAGACCCGCTTAATAACACCTTGTAATTAATCCAGCCCTTCTGGAAGTTGACTAATCAGTATGATATAGCATAAGTACAGGAAGTAGGAACGTTATTTAGAAAATAGCAGAAGTAGCCTTTACGGCCACATCCACATGTGGTATGGACGTTTGGTTCCCTGGGGACAACTAGTAGCAGTGTACCTTGTGCCACCAGTAGTTGTGCTACGCGTGCTCTGGCAGGTGGCAAGTTACCCTGAACAGAGTAAGGGAGACTGGGGCCAGCACTGGACTGGCACCAGCAACCTTACCTGAGGTAAGGCCTTCCAGGCCTGCAGCAGCAGTGATTCTTCCATGCAGAGCCTGGCCAGCAGCTGCTGCATGACTCCAGCCAGCCCGGCTCCGCTTTTGAGTGGCATGCACGGCCCCTGTGTGCACTGCTCTGCTTTTTTTTCCTGCAGGTTTTGTTGACCCCTGGATATTCTGCCTCCACGCTGCTCCCTTGCAGTGCAGAGAACAACTGAACGTGCAGTATGTGGCACCGCAGACATGTCTGTGACGCTACATACTGCACGGCCACACTTGTCTTGACATGGCCTGTGATGACAGAGGCTAGACTCAGACTTCAACTGCCATGGACCAGTTCCAATCAAGTCTCAATCTGCTGACGCAACCTGGGGGAAGTGGGAAGCCTTAGAAGTGAAAGGAATGGCAAAATGCTAGGAATGAAAGATACTTCCTTTCCACGTGTAAATCCTCCTATGCCTAGGTTTTGCCTAAGAAGGTGCTTTATAGAATGTAATAGAAAATGATAACCTGTCTAAAAAGGCTTTTAGTCCTCCTAGATAATACCAAATTATATCCTTGCTATGGAAGTCTAAAGGGTGGTTCAACCAATCCAACAAAATACTATTAAATATTACCATCTTTTTAAAGTATTTCTGTACAGCCCTAACAATTTAATTCTCCAGGATTTTTTCATAAAGTTTGGCAAGTTGTACTTTCCCCTCCTTAGCCCTACTCAAAGGGATGCTGACAAGTAAAATTTAGCCCACGAATTTAGGTTTATGTAGAAAATAAGACCTTTATTAAACCATTGGAACTGCCATGATGGATCTGGTCCAGGATCCTGCCTCTGACACTGAACATTATCAGATGCTTCAGAAAAAGACATAACCGACACTGGTGGATTATGAGATAATCAACCCCACCCCCACACACACACCCCCGCTTTCATCCCCCAATATGCACAAATTAGGTTTTATCCTGAGCTCTAACAGTTAAAGCCCAAAGCATGAAGTTTAACACCCTTCCAAAATGTTTATCATGATAATTATGGGTACTCTTGATACCCATAGAAATGTTCAAACCCTCTTTGAATCTTAAGCTCTTACCCTCAACATCTTCCTTTTGCAATGGGTTGTACCATTAAAGTATACACTGTGAATAAAAAAAATGTTTTCTTCTATCAATTTAAACTTTTCCAGCTTTGTTTTACTGAATGTCCCCCTTCTACTCATTACAAGACAAGAAGAACAGAAGTGCTTGGTCTACCTTCTCTGTACATGTGTTATTTTATATATATTGCCATCAAACTCCTTTCTGCTTACCTCCTTCTTAAGGTAAATAATATCAAACTTTTCAATCTTTATTAATGCAAAAAAAATTCCATTCCCCTTATTTTTGTCATCATTTTCTGAACACACTCAAATTCTGCAATAACTTTCTAGTGCAGACCAATATTGCACAAAGTTTTTCAGCTGATGTTGCACCATTGATTTACATAAAGCTACTGCAGTATTTTTTTATATTATTCACCATACAACTTCTTAGGCATCCCAACATCATGCTTGCTTTTTGACCACAGCTACACATTGAGTAGCAGTCTTCGTTCAGCTGTCTATTATGCCGTCTAGGGCTCTTTCTTGAGTTAATTTTG